GGGGGATTTTGATCAGAAATGTTGCATTTAAATCATTTTCGGTTCTATGAGACATCATTTCCGCATTCTAAAAATTGTGTTGCTTTTTCATACGATACAGAATAAGTCTGAGAACAAATATTCATGCTATGATGATGCATACATGTGTTTAACAGTTAAAAATCTAAACTAAATCTATTCTTCTTGGAACGATATCTACAACTGCTTTAACGAGATTTCAAAAATCAAGTTCTTCCAGTATATCGTCTTTTTTCTCAGTCGAGACGTACTTAATCAGTTTCAGCTTCGAGCAGGTAACGTGTACCCCCCCCCCAATTTCTCTACTGATTTAGCCTTTCTGCGAGAATGGTTTTTGCGGCGATTGGGGGGGGGGGGGCTCTCTTAATATAACTTGATATTTTTCAGAAAATATTTTGCAATAAAACCTCCCGAAACAAAACACAACGCCTATGCGGAGGAAGTGCAAGGAAATAGTCGCAAGGCTTGGAAAGGCTAGCATTTTATCGCGATTGTTTGCATGAAATCTATCGCTATTACGAAATACTAGGTGACAAACTATAAGAATTATACACAAGATGGCTGTGGAGGAGGCTATGGAAGGGCATAATCTCAGTATCAAGTAAATCAACTGCAATTCTGACAGCAATCATGAGCAATTCTGCTTCGCACTTCGGGGGCAGAAATGGCTTTACTGGGGGGGGGGATTCTTTCCCTGGGGGGCAATTGCCCCCCAGATATACTAGTTAAAAAAGGCACTGCACACACACGCGGTAGTACTACACAAATATATATGCTATTTTACATCAAGACTTCTTAAGATTGGTCCTAAATGTTTCTACAAGTCTCTGTTTTAAAATATTTTTGAAGTCTTTCGTTGTTTCGCAAGCCCTAAGTTCTGGTTTTAAGGAATTCCAAATCGTACGCAGGATTTTTTCACCAGGAGGCAGTAATATACGCTGAAATAAGGGACTGCTCATTATTTATTGTACAGGGGGGGGGGACTGAGGAGAAACTCTACAGTTATAATATTTTTCGTTGCTCCCCTCTTCAGATAAGTAGAATTTTCAAAGCCCCCTCAAACAGGCAAAACAAGAACATAAATTTTGGTGTCCCCCCCCCAACTCTAGCTCTTTATTTAAAGAAACAAAAATAGATAATGGGGATACTAAAATGAGTAAAATTGCAAATTTTGGTTCGAAATGTTGGAAAATGTGGAAAATATAGCCTTCAAAAGTTTACAAATTTTGTATACTTTTGTATACAAAACAAAATTATAACAAATTTGCAAATTTTGCAAGGCTATATTTTCCGTATTATTTTTACAACATTTTGCAACCAAACTTTGCAATTCTACTCATTTTAGTAAGCTCTTTCTAGCTGTGGTGATTTATTTGCATCTCTTTGCCTAGTTTTAAAACTAGTCAATAATGGGAATTGTCTATTTACATGAACATAAGAGACTATTTATTTGGCTTCCATTTATGAATATTTATATTAAAGGTCTATAAACATTGTTATTTGTCGTTAAGTTGTTTTGTCAGTGATACATTTAAAAAAACTACTGTTTTTTCAAACTAGTAAATCTTTTCAAAACCCCCCTTCTTTCGTCTCTCTGTATTTTTTCAAAGCCCCCCCTTTCAGGTTTAAAAAAATTTAAAGCCCCCCCCCAGTTTCTCCTCAATCCCCCCTGTACAATAAATAATGAGCGGTCCCTAAGTACCCATATGTCAATGCATGCATTCAAAGTCATATCAGTCAGATTACAGATGAATGCTTGTATGGCCACCCCATACAGAATCATACACTAATTAACAACACTATAAGCGCCACTTGGCTTAATATACAACAACATTATAAAATTAGTAAGTTAAATTTTATCGACAGAGAGAGACGGGGGGGGGGGAGCAGTTTCTCCTACTGCCATTCGCTGCGTACAGCCCTGCAAGCAACTTGTGCTGTTATTTTTAACTTTAATGCATCGTAACGTGTGTGTCTTAAATACTTTCCTGCAAATTAGTGCCGGTGATCGGACATTGTCCGGTGTCACAGAAAATTTGCCCCCCCCCGGGCCATATTTCCTAGGAAATATGCCCCCTTCGGAAATTTGGTCCCCTCTAAAAAATTATAGTTTACTTTATCTTTTAGCTCGGAAATCGTGAAGCTTCTACTAAAACCAAATTTCTAGAAATTTTTCTCAACATTTATAGTTACTTTGCGTAATTTTTTTGTCTCAAAACAAAATTCTGCAGTGAATTGCAATACTGACGAGAATTAGGCCAAGAGAATTGCTTACAACACTGACGGATTTTATGTAGCTGGATGCAACCTTTGTTTTTCTGCGTGTTTGCGGAATGTTTTTGTGAGTCATCCAAACCTTGTGCTTTTGTGTTTGCGGAATATTTTGTTAGCCATTCAAACCTTTGTGCTTTTCTGTGCGCGGAATGTTTTTTGTGAGCCATGAAGCATACAGTCTACTTCCGGTTTTACGGAATCGGCTTCTGTAATGCATCCCAACCATATGAGAGATTATATATACTGTGTATATGTAAGTAAAATGCATAGGAAAAGTTTGTTTTACGAAATAATCACTCATTTGATTTTGTTTTTCGAACGAACGTTTCCACTTAAAAGTTGCTAATTACTCCCTGTTATTTATTAGACGCGCGATATTAACATATTCGCCAACGCATGATGTCATCGTTTGCTAAAGTGCAGTTGTTATTCTGACTAATTTTATACTATGTGACTGAATTTTATAGATCTAACTGAATAACTTGTAATATCTTAAAAATTCCTATCTCTAAAAAATCGTTTCATGTCCTTAGCTTAAAGCTAAGCCATTATGCACTAACGTTGTCCTCAACAGATACCCATGTGTGATGTGTCTGGCATGACTGCGCTAGCACATTATTGTTACGCTTTCCTTCAAACTTTTAGCTCTTGGCTGCAATGAAGAATTTCGATACAAATAAACTATGCAAACCAACTATAAATACTGACAAACACTTTTAGGATCTTGGTTTTAGAAGAAGCTTCACGATTTCCGAGCTTATAGCGATAAAGTAAACTATGTTTTCGAGGGGGTCAAATTTCCGAAGGGGGGCATATAATATGGCCCCCAGGGGGGCCAAATTTCCTAGGGAATTTGGCCCGGGGGGAGGCAAAGTAGGGGGGGGGGCAAATTTCCTGGGACACCTGCCAAATTTTACTTTTTGTCTGATCAAAGCTTTTTTATGACCGCGGACATGTGACCGACCCATTTAGGCTAGTCCAACAAGAAAGCGATTAAACAGCACTTCTCCACTAAACTATTTCTTGCTGCATTAAGCGAGAAATTAAAGTTATGTATAACCTGTATTTACTGATGCATTAGGATTGGTGGATATATGCTAAGTTTTAGATGCATTGCAGTGCGGACTAACATATGATAGTAAAAATTAAGTCCAGTCTGAAAATGACGTGTTTGTTGCCTTTTTTCACATTACAACTTCAAGATTAATAAAAATATCAAATCTGTACATTGACGTATAGCCATAGGGGGTGGAGAGGCCGTTCCTCTGGCCGTGGGAAAAATATTGGGGCCGCCATGGGAAAATTCTGACCGTGAAGCATGTGCATTATATTTTCATTTCTTGTAATGAAAATTTTATATCTTGGTTAGTGATTAATTAGAGTTGTCATGTACACGTGTTATGTGTTAAATGGTTATTGAAAAGCACCCAAACACAATAAACATGAACCTTTACTGACTCCAGAATTTAAATTTTACCCGGGGAGCATCCTCTGGACCCCCTAGATGTTCATTGTACTGTATTATGCCCAAGCAAATACATGTTCATATCAATAAACAACCTTTACTCGAACTAGCGCAGGGGGGAATTACTCGCCCCCCCCCTTGGATTTTATCGGCTGCCCCACCCCCCTCTCCACTAGAAATCCTGGCACGTCACTGAATAGTAAATTCCCCTTATTACGTTTTCGTAGCGCTTTGCATTGTGGTTATAGTGGTATCACTGATATTCAAGATGACTTATTTTTTGTCCTGACCCGTGCACTAAGAACTTTTAAAAAAGCTAGGGTCAGGTGCGCGATAGCTAACAGCAAAATATTCGTGAACACATTCAATATTTTCATTCGAAGCCGCTATCTTTATCAGTGATATCACTGTAACCACAATGCAAAGCGCTACGAAAACGTAATAAGGGGAATCATCAATTTCCCAGAGGATTTTGTAGGCTTGCTTGGGTCACCTGTGGAGAAACCTTCACAAATATGAAATATTATAAACAAACCATAATAACCATTGAATGGTATGAGCCGTATGACCAAACAAAACAAGCTGAGAAACATGTTCCGGATTCCATGTATCAAATATTCTCACTGCCACATGTACAAATATAATACTTGAATGCTGATATGGAAAAGAATCAAGGATATTCGACCACTGTATCATTAAAACCGTTTGTTCATCAAGTTGGTGGACATTCCTCCATTCAGCAGTTCGATGAGTATACGGTTTGCAAGCCGTTGTTTTCAAAGGAACTTCGATTCTACCAGGAAGTGTGTCCGCTATTCAAGCCTTTCATTCCAGAATTCAAAGGTGAGATTGCAACATTTTGGAATTTTATAAGTGCTCTCGAATTCGAATGAGCAGTTCGAGATTGATTGTGGTTTAATTTAAAATGAATCACACCCGCATGATCTTTCGTCAGAGCAAAATGTCAACATATGATTATTTTTATGTATATTGAATCATCTATTCCACAAAAAAATTATCTGACTCGGGAAAATTATATTAAATAGTCGCTTAACTTCAACTATAAATACAAAATATATGTAAACTAATTTCACTTCCGGTTTTTAGCGACATGGCAAATACACAGCATAAGATTATGTTTATATAAGGGAAAATCATGTATACGTGAAATATCAAATGTTTTATGATGGGCTTTTACTGTTGGAAATTAAATGATACAGTTGCGACGTTTTTGTATTGTCATGTACAATACATTATATTTGAAATTTTTATCAACAAAATTTATAGCTCTCCTGCTGGGATAGCTATGTAATGCATTGTCAGTTTAATAGCCCCTGCTACTGGCAGATAAAGCGCACAGAATGATAAAGGTTACATGTAATTAATGTCAATATGTAGGCTTGGCCTGACTTGGGGTATCGGCTGGCTGTGCCAATTCCAAGTGATACCCATCCCAAGGTGACCATGTCAACGTTTTACTCTGACAATTTTACCAATCTCGAACCCCGAGCCTGCATTCCTTATGGCCTGTGGCCCTAAAAAACTGTATGCGGACCTAACTGCACATGCGTTTGGGAAAGCAAAACAATTTTTTTTAAATATTTTAATGTTTCGTCTATAAACCATAATTTTTTTTGGTTTTTGTGGAAATGTCGATGTTCTTCATAGTGGAATACAAGTGGTGTATTAGTGACTGAATAAGGAAAATATTGCGTGTGAAGCAGGGTCAGTATAGAGCCATCAGGAGCCGTGAAGAGTGCTGTTGTCAAAGAAAATTGTTGTCACAATTAATTGTACATATCTTGCCCATTCTCTTTTGTGTCAGTACATGGCATTTAAATGTACAGACATTTGTGGCCTCCATCTAATTTAGCCATTTAATGCATAATAATTGGGGGCAATTTGCCCCAGGCCCCCAGCTAAGGGGAACCCCAAATAAGGATAAAGTAAAATAATTGTTCTAAAAGCTCAAGAATAAGGAAATCAATCTCCAAAAGAGCATAATTTCAAGAATCTTTGATGATAGTAAATGTATCCGTGCAGCCCTGTTTAGTGCTGTTTTGTTATGGCATTTGGTTACAACACTGTTACAATAGCATATCATAGATTCACATTTTCAAAGTTATTTCCAAATAGTAGCATGCACACTTCTACAAAAATAGTGCAAATGCCTGGTTTACACTATGTCTGGAAATGTGCCACCGGTACAAAATTGCACTAATAAATACACAAATAGTGTTGCGATTATCACTAGATATTAATCCATTAAGTGGCAATTTGCCCCGATATATGCCCTACTTTATTATTTTACTCTGTCTAATGCCAGAATATAAACTTTATAAACAAAAGATAATGTAAAACGTAACAGAACGGCCGAACATGCAGATTCGTGGCCATCTCAAATAATGGTAATGTTGGGATAGTAGCGTTGCAGACTTCAGAGGAGAGTGGGCAGTAGTGCTACCTCATGCACTACCCCATGGAAAACATGCACCCCTCCTTGCAGATGATCATGAGCTAGATCAGCTCCTGGCATGGTAATATTCTTCTGGTCGGAAAATAAATGAAGTAAAGCGGGCACTTTTTAACCAATTTGAAGAATACAGAAAGAACTTCGACATCTTGAGTGAAGCACTGAAGGGCTTTCGTCTGAAAACACATGGCATTTTGTATCGGGGAAATATACATACATGACTGTGCTTTTAATTTATATACCCTGGGGGTGGACAGGCCAAGTTTGGAAATGAGACGAATTGCACTATGTCTTAAGCGGCATCATTGCTACCAGAATTCAGGAAGAGGACACAAGGCTCAATTTTTATATCCCAAATATTGTGATTGCCAGTCTATTATATCCGAAATATTGTGATTGCCATGTGATTGTCTATATTGATATGTTTGCGATAGGTTGGTTAGCATCGTTGCTCATGACTGCTAATGGAATTACACGGTTTGTGTACTGTTTTAGGGGAATTACACGGTTTGTGTACTGTGTTAGGGGAATTACACGGTTTGTTCAAAGTTGTCCAGAACCGTATTCAAAAGAAGTTTGGATTCGCCAAGGCCCGCATTGCCAATGGTGATAACATTTGCCATGGAAATTTCGAAACCAGTCAGCACACCTGTTAATGCAGGAACAAAGCTGAAGAAAACAACAGAAGTCGGTGACGAGAATGTCATCTATTGCTTTACCTGTCCACAAAAAGATCTGATGTTAATAGGAATTTAGTTTCCTCCCGCTGCTATCCTCCCTTGCCTTTATGTTAGTAATATACTCTAGTTTATTATTATTATTATGAGGAAAGTCGGAAAGATCTATTAAATCAATAATGAGCAAAGTCGCATGTTTCTACGGCACGTTTCTGCAGCTTTATGCCGAGGCAAAGGAGGAGCACCGGGCAGCTGTTAAGCGGCTCGTGAGGTATCTGATTGAATTAAATTCGGGACATCGACTGGGGAGCAAAAGTCAGCATCGGATATGTCTTTCAGATCAGCAACGCAATCGTTTATAGATGAAGAAATAAGAAAAAAATAATTTGTCGTCAGTCGCCCTCTCCACCCTAAAACCTGAATACATGGCGCTAGCATGTGTAGATGCGACTGATCCTTCGAGCAATCGGCATGTTGCCCAAGTATAAGAATGCAATTCACATGTTAAATACAATTTCATTCCAAAACTTGTTGCTATAGTGCGATACTGTGATCATGATCGCAAAACAATTTACTGTGGAACTATAATACCAGCTACGTGACGTTAAGTGTACAACCAAGGTTAAAAAGGTGCTTGGAATAATGAACAGTTAAGTTTCAAATACACTCTCTAAAGAACCGTCGGGTGTTGAAAATACACTCTCTAACACTTCATGTTATTTATATTGCGTATTCTTGTGGGTGTGTACAAGTAACTTAATCCCATGACCAAAATTAACATTCTGTATAAAAATCTGGCGACAGAACACTTTGTTTTGAACTATAGTCTCGTTTGAAATGAACTGATATACAATACAGTTATAACAAGCATATATGTACAGTAATCAGTAGTTAGTGAGTTTTCTTTCCCAAGATTTTCTAGCGAAAATGTGCAAATCGCGTATTTTACTGTATTTTAGGTGTTGTTAGTGTGAAAAATGTTGAAGGAGATAGTAGATGTCAAACGGTCAGTTTGGACGAAAAAATCGAGCTTCATATTTACAGATATGGTAAACACTGTAGCTCTTGTACCTGTCAACAGAAAGGTGAAAGAGATACAAATGAAATATGCGAAGAAGGTTTAAGCAAGATTCCAACTGACCGTGGACCAGATGGGTATGAGAAGAGAATGACTAATGTTACTTCGTTTAAATTTGGGGATTCGTGCATGCATGGTCAAGGCTTTCAGTGTCACTTTAAGTAAGCGGCTAGGTATAGGCGGTTGTCCGCAATGAAGAAGTCGTTTTACAAATCAAATGATATTTGATGGAATTGCAAGTGTACTGTACAGTAGTCATTATTTTTGTCCACGTTCTTGTGCTTAATGGACAAACCGACCATGCATGTAGCTGAACTTATTCAACAACAGTTTAAGTACTCATAAAAAAGATATATTAATGCAAATATCATTTTTATACAGTAAACTATAGTTGTTCTAAAAAATCGTGTTCGGAAATTTTTGTTTATTTCGTCATTCCGCTGATATGGCGATTTCTTTGACGACTGCAGTATATTTCTGAATCGTTTGAGTGAATTACTCCTTATTATTAAAATATCCAAAATTAGAAAAAAGCCGAACACGATTTTGAAACTGACGTCTTTAGCTGTGTCCTGTGAAAATTTGAGAAAAATTCGTTAAAACCCGCAGGAGAACAACTCGTTTGAAAATCAGTAATTGTCGTAAAATCCTTCGGGAGAAAATTGAATTTGAATATTACATTTTCAATGTTTTTCTTATTGCAACGACATGTGTTTTATAAAATAACTCTGCGGGTTTTCAACATTTTTCGTTCAAACTTGGTCAGATAGTAGAACTAGTCTAATGCTTTCATCAAAATTCACACTCAAAGGTGTTCTGTAACCTTAATGGGCAATTGAGCAGTAATACTAGATTCCCCTTATTACGTTTTCGTAGCGCTTTGCATTGTGGTTATAGTGGTATCACTGATATTCAAGATGGATTATTTTTTGTTCTGACCCGTGCAAGAACTTTTCAAAAGAGCTAGGGTCAGGTGCGCGATAGCCAACAGCAAAGTATTCGCGAAAACATTCAATATTTTCATTCGAGGCCGCTATCTTTATCAGTGATACCACTATAACCACAATGCAAAGCGCTGCGAAAACGTAATAAGGGGAATCTAGTATTTTGCAGCTCTGCTTGTATTTCATGCATTCAGTGTCCATTCTGTATCATTCTGTGTCAAATTTTAACATAGTTTATTTTGTCATTTTAGTTGTGTGTTGAATAGTAATCATGACCATAATTTTGACGATTCTTCATTAGGTAAGATCTATGTTTACCTCGTTTTAATACCTTTATTTAGGTCGATTTGGAATTTTAAACACCGCGGAAAACGTCTATGCATGCATGCGCATATAGGAACTGCAATATGCGTGGCAGCAAATTTAAATTCTATTCCATTAAAACAAGCAAGAAAGTACAGCACACAGGTTGACTAGAAGTTAATCTTGATCTCCTAAAATTGTATCGAACAGCGGGGATGTATGCTTAGTTCAAACATAAAATTGACTAAATATCAGGCACATTCGTAGTTAGAAAATACTTTTAATTTCAAAAACGTTCGGCCAACGAGGCCGGAATTCAAATCCTCCATGCATGACCGCATTAAAAAGAAAAAGCAGCGAATAATATATACCATACTATACCGTACAGTACAGTACAGTTAGTATAGTACGATCTAGAATATGCAGCACAATTGTACATTTGTTACTGTAATTCATACTAGATGGAATACTAGCTAGTTTTGATGGAAGAGCAGCTGCGAAAAATCCAACTATAGGCCTTCTGGAAGAAATCGACCTTGCGAACCACCCTGCGATTCCAGAGCAGTGCTCTAACCAACTGCGCTACAGAGAGACAGATGACGAGAGATCCGTGCCCCGGAACCGCAGCATTTTCACAGCTGCTCCTCCTGGTTAGGTCTGAAAATTGTATGTGTTATCGTACGCTCGAAATATTAATATTATGCTATTCGTAAATTAATTATTTCAATTCCAGTGTGCCTCCTGTTGGAAAATGTGGTCGGCCATTACAGATATCCTTGTATATTGGATTTAAAAATGGGCACTGAGAAACATAAAGATTATGTTGTTAGTAAGGAAGAGGCTGATCGACGGCAAGCTCGATGGGACCAAACGACATCAAAAAGTCTCGGGGTGCGGGTTTGCGGCATGAAAGTAAGTTTTATTATTGCTGCTAGTCGTCCTTTACCCTGGGTATCATGCAGAGGTTGTTCCACGCTCGCAGAAGTACCGCAAAATATAAACCCTACTAGGCGAGCTGCATGGAACAACAGGGTAATCGTTCGTCAAAGAATAGTAAATTTGACTGCTGCTGATCGTTCCTCGAAGGAATCCCGACACCCAAGTAATGCCTCAAAAATGTCCATTTCGCCGCTCCGTCCTTATGCTGAAAATATCATCAAAGTCGATGTAATCTCTAGTGTTACTGATATGCAATGAAAAAAAATATGTGCACAAATTGATTTCTTCAATACAAGTTTCAACATGGTATTTAGGAGCCTTTTATGTTACGTAACATTCGCTCAAAACTATAACGAGTATATTCCACTTGGTCACAACTACATTCACAGTGATGCATCAATAAGTTGAAAATCCATTCTCGTCCCCCTAGCTAGACCCACATACCTACCTCATTAAAATATTGCCTACCTCCACAAAAATAAGATCTACAGGCATGAATGACGTCAAGTTGTTTTATAGTTGCTTGGTGTGATATCGAAGTACAGCTACCGTCTTCTCATAAATTTTTGATGATATTTTAGGTTTACCGTGTTACGCAAGCAAGCTTCCTTGTTAAAGGCCATGATCGAGAATTAACTATAGAAGGTTTTAAGGATGCGATCAAAACTTTTCTCTTCAACGGCATAGAGTCCCGGTATGACGTTATCGAGCCTTTTCTAACACAGCTGGGAAAACTTTTAAATATCATGGAACATCAATCTTCGTATCGCTTTTACAACACGTCACTCCTACTTATTTATGAAGGTGATGTGTCATGGAGGGAACATAGTAATAGTTATTCTTCTGATATCGGGGATGATCATCAGAGGCAGACAACGGATCAAAGAAAATCATCGCATACCACCAATGTTGGGGTGCGAATGATTGATTTTGCTCACGTGCAACATAATAATCAAAATATGAATTCGGAGTTACGGCAGATTCTTGATGAGGGTTACTTGTTCGGGCTTAGATCTGTTATTCGAATTTTAGAAGAAACTTTAAAAGAATTACAAACTAATAATCCCTCGCTATAGTAATGTAGTTATGAATATAATATAGGTGAATGAATAGATAGATAGATAGATATAAATTAGAACTTCTAGCGTGTTAGTCAGTGACCGATAATAACTTTATTTGGGGGAGGGGAGGGGGTTGCGAACCAGAGTATTTGACACCGCCCATACGTATCCCGATTCGTTTGAATCCGAAAACATTTTATTGCGGATCTGAGTCCGAAAACATTTTGTTGCGGTTAAAAACAATGCACATCTACATGTTTTCGATCGTCCACATGTATACGAATCCATGAAAACGATACGAACACGCCAATTAATTAATTACCTACAAACCAACACACGAGCGTGCTCAGCGTGGACTGGATTGTTGTGTTATTAGCGTGGGTGTCACTCAAATTTCATCGAAACATTCAAAACATTCCGTTACAATGCATCTGGATACGTTGCGTTTGCAAAAGTGCATGTGCACTCTGGGGGCCGTTTTCAAAAGTTTGCAGTTTTGGTGTGCGTTTTCACCGGATACGTGTGGACGGGGCCTTTGTCAATCCTGACATTAGGGCGTTTGGCAACCTACAACGGCAACGACAGAAAACAAAATTACTATAGCATTTTTGTATTCGACGACGTCGAACGTTTTCTTCTTGTATATGTCGCGTTTGTCTTACAGTGAAATGCTATTGTTGATGAGCACGTCTTCATTGACGTTGACGTTGTATTTGCCAAACTCATGCACTATATTGGGTATCTGATCGAATCTGATATTGCAGTCTTATTGTCTTTTCAATTGCGGGCTATAATATTATATATATGGAGGTATTTATACATTCAATTAGAAGTACGATTAATTTAAAATAAGTAATATAGGTAAAATTATTTCGGAAAGACTAGTAGGCGCAAAAATTCAGTAAGACGTATTAAATTATCGCTTAATAATTGCGATGCTCATGAATTATATTAAATCATGTTGTACGCCACAAATTCTAATTGCCAATGCATTGCCCAATGTCCGCGCCACTACTTTTGAATAAAGAAACAATTCGCTTTGTTTATGGGTAATAGTATAGCTTCGAGCGCAATTTGAAAATGAAAACATGCAAGAGTGCGACGGACGAGTGCAATTTCAGAAGTCTTTGAAAAACTCATGAGTGTAAGTTTTACAAATTGCACGAGAAACCACACTAAAATAATGTAGGGCCTACACGTACATTGGCATTGAATTTTTTGTCACTGTATTTCGATAAAATTGCAATGCTCTTAGCCAATCAGAATTATAGGTATTTTTTCATTTATTTTATTATAATTCTATAGATTCACATGCGCTATCATAATTATTTTGGTGAAAGATTTTACATGTTTCTGGTTAGACATTGCAGCAATAGGGTATACGTCCTGATGCATGGTATCAATGAATTTTCAAAGGAATATTTTAAATTTTGACCTAACATTCTTGAGTAACCAAACTGTCCAAACATCCATTCGTGGTTCATTGGTGCGACTGACATAATAATAATTTATTTAAAATATATATGTTGCATGTATTTATTTAAATATATGGGGGAGTTAAGTTTGAAGTTTCCGCATTAGGTAGAACGTAGCTAATGTAATTTAATATGTAATCTGATTTATCGAGAATGAAGTCAATTGTAATATAGGTGTGTAATTTTATATTTTAGAATTAATATCTTATTATTGACTATTTAAAATATTGTAATCTATATATGCTGGTATAGAAAATTAAAGATTAATTTTGATTAAAAACAATAATGCACTCCCTTATTTTCATTTTGTCTTAATTATTTTTACAACATTTTTTTGTATAAAAAAGGTAATCCAAAATTAGCATGTTCACCTGCACTATAGATATCGAGTTTAAGCCTGGTTTCCATGTCCCGGACTCTAGTCAGCGCACTTTTCTGGCATATGGAAACACGTTGTTTGCGACATCAGTCCCTGTCTTTTCACGCATGCGAAGAGCGCGGTCAATCCATCAACATGAATATGTAGGCCTATTGTATTCTTGAAAACCGGCTTTAAATTTACAAAAAAGCTTTTTAACAACGCTGAAAGCTCTCTATTAATGCATTTATTCAGGTAAAACTTCCTAGCAGAATATTGAAGTCTCGACCAATAACTGATAAGTTATATATAATACACGGCGAGTACCGAAACCAAGATGGCGGCATGCACAACTATAATAAAACTTTTAAATATGCTGGAAGTGCGACCGGGATTGAACATAATGATTTTTGAGACGTTCGCTGGTTGGAAATAGTTTATCGCGAGCTTTCGGCTTGCCAGACTGCAACGGGTAGTTATAAAATGCAATGATTACAGACGACTGCGGTTTACAATTACAGAGTATACAGCTATTTCAATTATGGTTGTCCCCGAGCAAAGCGGAAAACCTTAATTGAAATAGCTGTATATGCCCTGACTCTTCCACAGTCCCTCATTTAAGCCCCTCGCTCCCAGACTAGTCCCTATAGTCCTCTGTGCACGCTTTTGATTTCCGTGACGTCACCGAGCGAAACGCGCGCGAGAGGAGCCATCACCTCATTAATATGCAGAAACGCGCAATAGGCGTACTAAGAGGCCTAGGGACAAGGCTGCCTCGCTCCCATTGTTTTTCCACTGATCTCTATTCCCAACTGAAGCGACGAGGGACGAGGCAGGTATATGCCTACGGTTAACAATTACAGTGACAAACAAATAACTGGAAGTGAAGTTCCGCCTATATATTTCTCTACGAACTCTAAAAATTGTTCTATTTCTTTAATAAAAAACGGTATTGTTCTGGTAAATGTTTATAGAATTATTGTCATGCAGCATTAGCTGTGAGCGCGGTGTGCTAGGATTCCAATATAGCTATGCGATAGACTACATTTGTTTGTTCTTGGGATTGTGGTCTGTCTTTCGGTGAAGGGAGCATTTGTTCAAGCGTGTGTAGAGGTTTCGTTGTGGCTTGGATGCTATAAGGCTTGAGGAGGCGTTGAGAGGTTCTGTTAGGCCTTTGATGTATGGTAAAACCGCGTAACCAACCTTTGTACTCGGATGAACTCTTTCAAAAAACTCGCGAACAAGCTCTTCTGGTGATGGTGTTTTTTGTTGTCTCAAAGCACTTTTTTCCACTTCTGCGGCCATTAGCCGCCATGGCTTTAATGACATGCCACGTTCTTGTTGTTTGCCTTCGACCGTGTTAGGAAGTGTTGCTGCCCGGTGTACGGAGAGTTTGTGCTGTGCTAATTTTATGTTGTTTATCGTGATGTAGTTAAAATCTAAGTACTTGTCAGTGTGCATAGGCTCACGGTAGACATTATAGCGATAAGCCTTCCCTTATTTCGAGAAACTATAAAATGTCTAAAAATGAAAGTTGTCCGTTTTGTTCATGTTCTTTAGTAAAATTTATGTCTGTGTCAATGGAGTTCAGTAAATTATGGAAGAAATCTAATGGCAATGCATGTTTTTTGATGATCGAGAAAACATCATCAACATATAGCGAAACCATTTCTTATATGTGGTGTATAGCTGCTTGAGCCAGAGCGAGTTCTTCAATAACTTTTTTACACAGAGGATTGCCACAATAGGGCTTACAAGTATAAGACGGCCCACAGCACAACCGTTGATTTGTTTGTAGGTCTGCTTGTAGTTAAAAAAGCTGTTCGAAAGTGTGAAACGCAGAAGCTTGATGATGTTGTCAATGTTAGATTTGTTGCAGTTCGTTGTTGTAAGGTAGCATCTTTCAGTAGTTTGTTACGAATATGTTCGCATGTTTTTTTGACACGTTGTTTCTCCGTTCACTGCAATTCCTGTCGAAAAAATATGCGAACACTGTCACATTCGTGACAAACTATTGAAATATGCTACCTTACAACAACGAACAGACCTAACTAATGACGACATCATCAAGCTTCTACGCTTCACACTTTCAAACAGCTTTTTTAACTATACAACAAGCAGACCTACAAACTGTACAAAGAAATCCACGGTTGTGCTATGGGCAGTCCTGTGAGCCCTATTGTGTCACCCACCTCTGTTTAGAGGTTATTGAAGAACTCGCTCTGACTCCGCAAGCAACTATTGTACTATACCACATAAGAAATGGTTTCGCTATGTTGACGATGTTTTCTCGATCATCAAAAAACATGCATTAGATTCCTTCCATAATTTACTGAACTCCATTGACCCAGACATAAATTTTACTACAGTATATACAACATGAACAAGACGGACGACGTCTTTCATTTTTAGACATTTTAGTATCTCGAAACCACGGAAGGCTTATCATGCACTAATGTCGGTGTAAGCCTACGCACACTGACAAGTACTTAGATTTTAACTCACATCATGGTGAACAACATAAAATTAGCACAGCACAAACTCTCTTACACCGGGCAGCGAGCCGGGCAGCAACACTTTCTATAACACGGTCGAAGGCAGACAACAAGAACGTGAGCATGTCATTAAAGCTTTGACGGCTAATGGGTACCCACAGAAGTTTCTGACAGAAGTGGAAAAAAAGTGCTTTGCGACACTCTGACAACAAAAAACACCATCGCTATAGAAGAGCTTGTTCGCGAGTTTTTTGAAAGAGTGATCCGAGTACAAAGGTTCGGCATGGTTACGCGGTTTTACCATACATCAAAGGTCTAACAGAACCTCTCAAACGCCTCCTCAAGCCTTTTTGCATCCAAGCCACAACGAAACCTCTACACACGCTTGAACAAATGCTCCCTTCACCAAAAGCAGACCACCATCCCAAGAACAAAAAATGTATAGTCTATCGCTTAAATTCGGGTCAAGCGTTCATCACACGCGAAAAAAAGAACACGTGAAGAATGTCGAGAAACATAAAGCGGGCTCAAATATTGCGAATCGTGCTTGGTCTTATGACCATAAAATTGATTTCAACAATAGCAAGACAATTGACAACGGGCAAACTACCACCATAGAGCTATATTGGAATCCTAGCACACCGCGCTCGCAGCTAATGCTGACAATAATTCTAAACATTTACCAGAACAATACCGTTTTTTATTACCATTTATTTGAAGGAGTTTGTTTTGGCCGTCGTCGTCGCGTTGCCGTCCTAAAATCGTAAGGTCTCTATAATGATTACAGACGGCTACGGTTTACAATTATACGCCTGCGCTACGCCCACGGTTAACAATTACAGTGACAACTGGAAGTGATAGTTCCGCCTATATATTACTCTACGAACTCTAATAGTTGTTATATTTCTTTAGTAAAGACAATTCGTCGTATATTATCAATTGTATATGAATTTAATACAATCTTAGAAATGAAGACATAGGTTTTATGGTTGGGAAGAGTTTTGCTGAACCCAGTTTGAAGTTGCACTTGTTGCGGCTTGAAATGCATGCAGCCGTTGTGTCAAGACGTGAAAATCTGTGATTTGGTGTTGTAAACAGAGCGAAGGACAATGTCTAAATTATTCATATATTGTAATTATTCAATTATTTTCAATCATTTATTATATTGGTAGCCGTTGCCGTCGCGTTGCCGTCCTAAATCGTGTAAGGTCTCTATTGTTAGTATTTTATAACTACCCGTTGAAAGCTGCAGTCTGGCGGCCGAAAGCCCGTGATAATAAATATTTCCAACCAGAAAAGTAATTATATAATAAAACTTTTTCCATGCAGGATGAAGGAAAAAGATTTTATACTATTTAAAACTTGAGGACGGAGTGCTCAGTGCTCTATCAGATATAAAACACGAGGCGACATGCAGCCAAACCACCAATCTTATGAGTTCATTGGCGAAGTAATTTTAAAAACCGATCGGTTGTCTTATAGCGGAGAAAATCGAAGCTAAAGTTATGTAAATTGACATTATTTTTTATCACATATATAAACCACCGACAAGGTTGTGAGTTCCTTCGCCTTTTCCTCATGAATTATTAATGAGTTTTTAACTAATGTTTATAAGATTTTACGTTAAGTTAAGAATAACTGCATGGAATAACGTATTTGATTTAGATAAAAAGTCATGATAGTGTTTGTCATCTACTTATAGAATCACAAATCACGATAAACATAAGGCAACATTTTATCCAGCGCTATATGTTAATATTTAGTATACGTATACATGCTTATCAATATTTAATCAGTTCAAATACATCTGCCATTTAAATTAAATGACTGAAAGACTTCAAAAATTACATCAAACAGAATATAGATGGTGCATGTATACGAAAGGTTCTAGCATTAAATTATAGAAAGGTAATATGCAAAATAATATATATCTAGATACCTTTCGAAGATAAACAAAATGATTTAAGATCGCTCGTCCAACTGTTCATTTCAGATCAATTAATTTGAAAGTTAATTTAACAGTTGTTGCGTACAATTCGAATATGTGATGCAACACAAATCACAAACACAAGTTTAATTAGTGCTAGAGAGCGCAAGGTTATTAAAATGCATGAAATCGTGACAAGTTCCATTTTGTTTGCAATATTTAATAATGGCATCAACTGCATGCAATCAGCGCAGCTTAGCTTATACATAAAACATTTGCTTTGACTTTGACTTTGACTAAATTTGAGCGCGAGCGAACTACTTCAACACACTAAAGCAGTAAAGATAAAGACACAATTTTCGGAGCAAATAAAATATATAGTGCTATTCTAAACTTAAATAATAAAGACTGACGTTTTTGCGTAAGTATACAAGGTGAGAGTAGTATATTTTTGTCTTCTGACTGATTAAGTTTGTTCTAGCATTTATTTTAGAGCTGATTTGCACTGTTGAGGTTTCGATATATGAACAAAGTGCAGTTTTAGCGAATGTCGTCATTGTTATATTGTTCGTCTGTTTGCGCAATAAAAATATTTCTGTGGCTGTGCAGGTCTTCGTGGTACAGTAGCTATCTTCATTCTTCTTTCAAAGAGGTTTACGCTACCTCACACCTTGAGCAAAGTATGACTTATTTGATCAGTCAAAGAGATTTTGATACAGCGACAGTGTTAATCATCCTATAATAAATGCGTTGATCAAACTGAGTCTGAGACAAAAAGCACAAATTGACAAACGGCTTATGCGAAATGGAGCATGACGTACTATGAGGACAAAAGCATTTCAGTCAAAAGATATTAAATAACAGTGCAGTAATTTTTCTACAAAAATGCATGAACAGTTGTAGTTCACTAGTTCTTTATAGGTTTATATGTTAATTGTGTTAGTATTGGTTATACGTGGACTGTTTGAATGAGAGATATTTAATTTCTGTAAAGAAATAGTCTATACATTATTTCGAAATTTTGAATGCAGTTCTGAGCGCAGTAGAAGAACCTTCCAATTTTTTTGAACAGTCTGTGCCAGTGTACGTATATCAGTAATGTCAATAATAAGAAAACTTCAGTTTGATATAGGGATACAATGACCTGAAAAATACAAGGAGAATTAACTTCGCGACGAAGGTCCTTCGCTCGAAACGTCCAAGTTCTCGTCGTATTTTCAGGTAGTTGCATCCCTATCAATCCGAAGTTATTCCATTTTTTACAGCTTCTTTGTTTCAGAAAAAAAGCTTGCAAAATTGCCTGGGCGTCTTGCTGCGCGGTTTGCTGAAAACGCAGCTTATATAACCCATAAGGTGGAACTATAGTTCTCTCGACCTCTTGTTCACTACAATATGTAAAATGGTAGCTTTTTCTTCTGGGGTCACGTGTTATGTGCTCATGCATGGAATGTAGCATCATGTTTTAATATTTTCAGTCATTTACAAAAAGCATGGTGAACGAGACAGAAGAAGGAAGATTTCTATCCTTGCCTGCAGCCATAACGCTATCTGCAGTTACAGCTACTATTTTGCTACTAGACTTAATAGGGAATACGTTGGTGTTGTGTGTGGTATATCGTCAACGAATGAAGCCTAACGTACGAGTAGGAAACATCTTCATAGCTAACCTATCTGTGATCGACTTGTTGATGGGAGTCGTCCTAATTCCGGTGTCAATAGCTGTAACTTTGCAGGGAAGAAGAGTTTTAACGGATGCAGGGTGCAAAATTAACGGTTTCTTCAATATATTCGTCGGCTCAGCTTCAATATGGACGTTGGCAGTTATCAGCATCGACAGGTTTGTTGCTTTGTGTACATTTTTCATTTCGTTAATTAAATTGTGAGACAACATAATCTGCTGTATTGTTGCTTGCAGCTGCTCGAAGCCGTTTGATATTCTACGAACCCTCCGCCTATCATATGAACAGGAATTGGCCAGTCTACTATAAATATCTGTTCTATTTAAAGGGCATATGACTCGAAAATTGACGGTGTTATTTTTTAGTCCAATTTTAAAGGTCATTGAAAACTGTAGAGTAACTTCTTTTATAGACTTTTGTTTTCTTGCTTCGTTTTGAAGATATTTCATTGTGTATGATATGCAAAGGACCAACTTCTACGTCACATAATTATACGCATAATGTTTTAGCACAGCTAAAAGCTGTATATCGTTAATACGACTAGACACAATCAGTAGAAAACCTACATGGGTGTTGTTGTGGACAAATCTCGTGCTCATCATTCATTTTGAGCGAATTTATTTGATAGTGACAAAATTATCTAACATTTTAAAGTAAGTCACTAAGTCATTATGCATGTGTGACGTAGAAAGTTGGTCCTTTGCATATCATACAAAATGAAATATCTCCAAAACGAAGCAAGAATCTGTCAAAGAAGTTACTCTACAGTTTTCAATAATCTTCAAATTAGACTAAAAAATAACACCGTCAATTTTCGAGTCATATGCCCTTTAAAACTGAGCAGCAGCGTCTTATCAGATATAAAGATACGAGGTGAAGTCGAGTATCTTTAGGTCTGATAAAACACGCACTGTGGATGTTATAAATTGCTTCAAAAACGATCGATCTAGTAAGTTCATTGGCGAAGTAATTTTCAAAAATATGTTGTGTAAGTGGAGAAAATCAAAGTTAAAGTTTATGTAAATCAATGGAAATCTCTATCACGCGTATATAAAGATACGACACGCTATGATTTTTCTTTGTGCTTTCCTCATGAATTATTGATGAGTTTTTGAAAGCTTTTTAATAATTTTGTGTAACGAACTGTATATAATGTAATTTATTTTCATTGTCTTCACCTAAATTTGCATGAATGATTCACTTGAAGAAAGATATATTTTGACTTGTATATGTATTTTGGCGTTTTATTAAAATATATAGCGATGTCATGACGTTAGGCGACGTCTAGTCAGTTAGTTTTGAGAAGTTATAAATAGATTGCATATATATATATATATATATATATATATATATATATATATATATATATATATATATATATATATATATATATATATATATATATATATATATATATTTATAACTACAGACGGTACCGTTTCGGCCTTTTGGGCCTCATATGAAAGTATACCACTATAAATAGTTACCTTTGATATCTCACAAATGTGGGACATCAAACCATTGCCAGAGTGCTCAAACTGCAAGCAGTAAGCATGCGCACAATGCGTAAGCAGCAATGGCTGATCCTGTAGAGTGCTCAATATGACACAAAGGCCATAGAGCAATATCTAACTACAGACGGTACCGTTTCGGCCTTTTGGGCCTCATATGAGCAGGATGAAAGTAACCACTATAAATAGTTACCTTTGATATCTCACAAATGTGGGACATCAAACCATTGCCAGAGTGCTCAAACTGCAAGCAGTGAGCATGCGCACAATGCGTAAGCAGCAATGGCTCATCCTGTAGAGTGCTCAATATGACACAAAGGCCATAGAGCAATATCTAACTACAGACGGTACCGTTTCGGCCTTTTGGGCCTCATATGAGCAGGATGAAAGTAACCACTATAAATAGTTACCTTTGATATATATTACAGCATATATAATACGCAAAAAAATTGCCAATGGTAATTTTGTCTTGTATATACTTGGCTGATTCAGTTCATTTATTGAGGCTAATCCTTAATCTAACTTCTAGTTGCAGATCACTGATTTACTGACCGAGATGTAAATCACCCCTAAGAATAAAAGAAATCAAATTATCGTACTATTTTTCCTAATTCCTTTTTATAGCTACTGTTATTTTATACTGTATTTTTTATTTTGTTCTAATCTGATTTTATTCATACTGTAATTTTTAAATTCTCCGATTGCCGCCACACCACTCTAATTATAATTTCGTTTCGTTCGATTTTAATTTATGAATTTCTAACGATTTCCAATATTTCTATATACTCGATAGGTATCGCGCTATTGTTTCACCTCCTGGGAAACGTCTACAATTGCATCATGCTCGATGGTTGCTTCTTGCCGTTTGGATTGTATCATTCGCAATGGCCCTTGCTCCAATAACGTTTTTGGGTGAATACAAACGGAATACGAAAAGCACCAATTGTCGTCCTGTAGGGCAGGGTTATATACTACTCTTATCCGTGGCATGTTTCCTGTCTCCTTTCGTAACCATGACATATTGTTATTTGAATGTTTATCTTAAAGTCAGAAGGCAACGAATACAGCTTCAATCATGGACATCGAACAGCACCAACATGAAAACGGAACTAAAAACTGCCAAAATTGTCTTCACAGTTTTAGCGGTGTTCCTCGTTTGCTGGTTACCATTCGTTACGGTTTATATCTTGTCAAACAGCGGCAAATCGCAGGATATTTCTCCTGTTATATTTCTGTTAAGTGGTTGTTTGTCAGCAGCACATTCTGTATGTAATCCAGTTATCTACTTTACCATGAACAGATCGTTCAGGAATGACTTGATGGCCTGGTTTCCTGGTCTACGCAAATTCTTTAACACACGAGATTCGGTTACACATGCAGCAACAAAAAGCAACAAAGCTGCTGCTGTAATGGAAATAAAGGTGAACGAAGAAAGCTATAGAAACGTTAGAATACGTTAATGGCACTGTACTACTGAAGTCTACGTATACTAGATAAAACATGAGCAGCCGATCTGTATCTGATATACAAACTCGAGCCGAAGGCGAGAGTTTGTATATCAGATACAGATCGGATGCGAATGTTTTATCGTACCTAAAAATTGACCCATCTTATGAGTTCATTGGCGAAGTAATTTTAAAATAAACATTGTCTATAGTATAAGCCGAGAAAATCAAAGCTGAAGTTTATGTAAATCAGGACAAATCTTTATCCGATTTACAAACATTGATTAAACATTCATTTCGTTTGTA